GGTCACTTATTCATAACTTAAAAATAAAGACATAGATGTCTTTGCGAAACGATAGCTCTTCATCGGTCAATCAAATAATAAAGGTTGGAAAGGGAAGTACTTTATCGACGTTACGAGTATTTTGACAATTGTTATTACAGTAAATATTTTAGGCGATTTTAGTATGGTGTAGCGTAGTTAAATGTTACGTAGATTTTTCGAAGTATTCTTAACTATTTCCAAAGCTTGTTTGCAATTTTTTTCTTAATATATAAGTTATGGTATACGACTTTGTGTTTTTGTCTCTGTCCTTCTCCTAATTTTGGTTTCATATGGCGACAAAACATAAGGAGACCATATTACCCTCACGTACCCTATTATTTTAGGCAAGTACTATTCGACCTACAAATAATTGGTTTAAAATTCGAAATGATGTTTTTTAATGTATGTCACGCGATATCTTTGTCAATTTTGAACCAGAGATGACTTGAATTATATGAAATACATGTATTTTAAATACAAATACAAAATGCAAAATACCTATTTTTATTTTACATTTTAAATACTTTTTCGAAATGTATTTAGTATTTTATTTGAAATACTTTATATAATATATTTAGTATTGTAAAATACAAAATAGTTTTGTTACATTTTTAATTCATAAATAAAAAATACTTTATTTATGAACGCACTGATTGTGATCCTAAATGTTGTCACCATTGTCACCAAAAATAATAATACCAACATAACATAATATTGCGGGTTACCCGTCAAACAAATCTGACATCCATAATCCATATCCATAAACACTCACGACTGTCACCCAGAGGGGTAGGCAGAGACTACAGATTTCCATTTGGCACGATCCTGACACACCTCTCTCGCCTCCTTCACAACCATACACCTACGCATACATGCTCGTCGGTTAAGGGTACTCCTAATTTGGCCCGTTTCCAATAAATCGCCAATTTGGTCGATAAATTTTCGCCTAGGACGTCTCTTTCCGACTCTGCCATTCACTTCTGCAACATAAATTTTCTTTGTCACTCTTTCCTCATTCATTCTTTCCACATGACCAAACCACCGAAGCATTACTTTCTTAATCCTGGTCACAACATCATCTTGCAAACCACACTCTTCTCTTATTACACAATTTCTTACCCTGTCATTCAGATTCAGCCCTAACATACTCCTTAACGACCGCATTTCTACTGCGTTTATTCTACTCTCGTGCTTCTTCTGCCACACCCAACTTTCACTACCATACGTTAAAGTAGGGACCAACACAGCATTGTGAATTGCCATACGTGACTTTTTCGACACATTTTGACTCTTCACAATAGAGTGCAAGGCCCCATTTACTCTATTTCCCGCATTCACTCGTCGTTCTATATCCTTATCATATCTCCCATCCCTGCTAAATACGCAGCCCAAATATACAAAATCATCTACTTGCTCGATCAACTCCCCTTCTATTCTTATTTCACAAATCGTTTTACTTTCTTCTCTTTCAAAAACCATAACCTTCGTCTTACTTGCGTTCACTTTCATACCCCTTTCTTTTAATGATCCGTTCATTAATGTAACCATCATTTGCAAATCGGCCGCCGACGACGCAAGAATGACTTGATCATGGGCGTACAAAAGGCATTTGACGGTTAACTCACCCATTCTTAATCCGCATTCTTCAACTTTCAAATTTTGCAAACAACTGTCCATAAACAGGTTGAACAGCCACGGGGAAGCCACACAGCCCTGTCTGACACCTTTATGGATATCAAACCAGTCCGAGTAGACCCCGTTGATCCTAACACAAGCACTAGAGTCCCTATAAAGAGACTCCAATGCCTGTATCAAGCCAGCGCTCAACCCAAATGAGTTCAGTGTTTGTCATAGCAAATCCCTATCCACTCCGTCATAGGCCTTTTCCAAGTCCATGAACGCACAAAAAACCTTTTGGTTTTTGGCCAGAAACTTCTCCGCGATCATGCGCATGGAAAAGACTTGATCTGTACATCCCATTCCCTATCTAAATCCCGCTTGCACATCCCAAATTTTTCCATCAGTTTCTTTCATGACCCTTTCAATCAGTACCTTAGCGTACAGTTTTCCCACAATGCTAAGAAGGCTGATGCCACGGTAGTTTTTACAGTCCGCTGCGACCCTTTTCCTTTATATACTGGGACTATCACGGCTTTGCACCAGTCTACCGGTACCCGCTTCAGTTCCCAGCATAAATTAAACAAGGTGTGCAGCAGGCCTGCCACCACCTCCTCTCCAGCCCTTAGCATTTCGAGTGAAACTCTATCATATCCGGGCGCCTTACCCGCTTTCATGCTTTTCATTGCTTTCATTATTTCATCTATACTTATCTCGCTACCTCTTTCTTCTTCTTTCGGAGTTTCTACTTCACTTAGTACACATGTTGTCTCCTCACTCATAAACACGCTTTCAAAATATTCCTTCCATCTCTTTAAACTCAAAACTTCATCATTCAGAATATAGCCATTCTCGTCTCTTATAGCATTCATCATAGGCTGTTTTGAATGTCCCCTGGCAGTTCTTACCAGTTTCCAGAACATTTTAATATTTGCCTGGAAGTTATCCGATATTCTTCTATCATTCTTATCCGTTCTTTCTTGCTTTTTTCTTTCAACTACTTCTTTTACTCTCTTATTAAGATGTCTAAAGACCGCCTTTTTTCTTTCAATATCATCATTAGTACCGCTAGAATTGCCAGCCTTTGTTGCTAGTAAATCTAGCCATGCTCTCTTCTTTGCTTCAACTTCCATACGTATCTCATCATCCCATCATAACGTATTATTTTTCCTTTCATTCTTTCTCTTACTAACACCACATACTTCGGTAGTTGCATGCACTAAACCTTTCTTTACATTTTGCCATACATTCTCCAAGTCTAACTCCTTCATACCACCACTTATATTTTACCACTTATATTTTCTTTCAGTCTACATTTGAACTTGTTTCTCTCATCTTCATCTTGCAAACTTTCTGTTCTAATATGCTGTAACGCAGTGGTAGACACAGATGACCGATGACGCCGAAATCTGACATCTGTGGTCAATATCATTTGTCATGTCAATGAATCAGTGAATGGCGTAAATCGAAGTGTCTTTGTGAGAACTGTTTGTGTAGATTATTTTGTTATCATTGTGATTTTGCTCCGTTTTCTTCACTTGCTGGATGTAAATAAATAAAATGTAAGTAATACATCACTTTTATAAGTTGTTTTTAACTAAGCATCAAGTAGTTAACCATCATGATATTCTATTGTTATTTCTAGTAGTCTAACCTGAAATAAAATTGATTTAATCGTTATCGTTTATTGACTAGCGTTTTAGTTGGGCAGAATATAATATCGCATTGTTCGTTCCCATTATATGTTATTGTTTAATTTATGGTCTTACGTTTTTTATTGACAATAAAACATTTACAAACCGTAAATCTATTATTTATTTTACATGAGTGATATAAAACATATTACTTTTTCTAGGGACAAGAACATTCCATTCATATTAAAACACTTCTTCAAAGACATTACAAATGATCCTGGAAGCGACACAAATATCTCTGCAACTTGCCAAACGTGTTTGAAAACAATAAAAGAAAGTTTGAATGCTACAACCAACTTTTTGAACCATATAAAAGTACGTAAAACTAAAAATTCATTTATATTTTATTTTATAAATTAAGATTTATTTCGATTGCATAACTAATTGGCTAATAAAATAATAGGATTTTAATCAATATTAAATAATATAATCGCAGACATTCTATGCATCATACAATAAGCTATTAATTATACTTTTGCAGAGGAAAGGACATGCTGATCTTTTAGCAGAGTATGAGAAACTCAAAATTCAACATAACAAGAAGAAAAAATGTGTTGGTGATGCTGGTGAGAAGTCCACTTCTAAAATAATGAAACAATTAACTCTTCCAGCCACCTTACCAAATCCAGTTAATTTCGACAGGTTACTTGTGAATTTTTTTAGTGGATACCATGTCACCCATATCAATTGTAGAAAATGAATCCTTTAAGGCTCTTATTGAGGGTGCACAACAGTTAACTGTTCCACCGAAAATTATATGCCGGCAAACATGTAATACAAAAATTGCAGAACGGTACACCGAATATGTAGAAAATACAAAAGAACAATTGAAAAAGGTTGATTTTATATGTACTACGGCTGATATATGGTCATCATCTAAAAGAAGCTATCTTGGTGTAACTGCTCATTAGATTGATTGTGATACATTTGATCGAAAAAGCGTAACTTTGGCTTGTAGGGGGGTTTAAGGGAACACATAGTTATGATAAAGTGGCTGAGCTGATTGCAGAGATTCATTCTGAATTTGATTTGAAACTTTCAAAAATAATAAACACTATTACAGACAATGGATCAAATATGGTCAATGCTTTTAAGTAAAATGGACAAGATTCAGGTACAGAATTAAGTGAAAGAGAAATTGAAGTTATGCATGATAATGGTGATGATGATGATGATAATGTGTTAACCCTAACATAATTTCCGGAGTCATCTGATGAATTTGAAGAGGTGCAACTGCCTAATCATGAAAGGTGTGCCACACACACATTACATTTGATAGCTTCAAAAGATATGTATAAGGCTAGATCCCAAAGTAATTCATATAAAAAACTTTATGATGCAGCCATGGAAAAATGTCAAGCAGTTTAGAATCTATGTTCAAGGTCTCCGAAAGCCTGTGAAATCTATCTAGAATCAACTGGAAAATCCCCTACTTCTCCATGTCCAACACGATGGAATTCATATTATAATTGCATTCAAGATCTACTAGCAGTAAAGGATACCCTAAACGAAACTTAAATAAAACCACAATTGGTAATTTTTAAAGAAATTGAAATCAAATTTCTTCATGAATACATAAGCTGTTCAAAGCCTATTGCTGAGGGCATCAGAAATTTAGAAGGTGACAAAAATACTTATTACGGATGTCTTATACCAGAACTTACGAGAATGCAAAGATTTCTAAGCAGTTTGCAAATGGATAACCCTACATACTGTGATGTATTGATAGAAGTTGTTAAAGAAATTCTTAATAGACGTTTTGAGAGTTTTTATAAATTAGAGGAGCCAATAGCAAAAAATGGCATAATAGCATCTGTGTCTTATCCCTTTTTCAAAATGAAATGGGTGCCAAAAGCCAACAGAGAATACATTAAAGAAGTGTTTGTTTCAGAAGTAAGAAAGATAAAACAAGAACGTGAAAAGAGTTCCCAAGTCCATCAAACTGACTTTAATAAAAAGAAGGAGAGAGCAGAATCGTATTATATGTTTGTTGAGGACTCTGATTCTTCAGCAGCCAGTGATTATGCCAATACTACAATAGATTTGGAAGCACTACAATATTTAAAAGATGAAGACAATACTTTAGAATCCTTGAACAAATTTCCAAATGTAAAAAAAACTCTTCCTCAAATATAATACCTGCTTGTCAAGTTCTGTACCTGTTGAACGACTATTTTCATTCGGTGGAATGATTATGAGGCCCCATAGACGTAACATGAAAGATGAACTCTTTGAACAAATACTAGTATTAAAATCAGTTAAATAATTAATAAGGTATTTTATTTGGAAAACCTATTTTGAAATATGTATTTTGCATTTTGTATTTAAATACTTTTATTTAAAACTATTTTGTATTTTTATTTTAAATACTAATGTACTGTTACGAGTTTGAGGTTCGTGACAATAAAAATTGCCGATAGGATTACCTAAATTAACACTTTAATTTTCTTTACACAAATTAAAACTTAAAACACCAATAATTAAGCACACTAATTCACTTTATTCCGCTCCGAACCTTCGCTTGTCTCGCCAAATTCAATACTTCCCCGATCGCGTATTGCAGCGCCTTTATATAGGGCTCTTTCACGAAAACATCCAGAATATTCCAGAATATTCGAGAAAATACGCGCGCCAACCGACCAAGCGCAGAAAGTTTGGGGCTTCCAGAAAGCTTAGTTCTTCAATTCGATACTAGATGGCACTGTCGGTTGAAAGATTAGTGATGTCATTTTCTGGAAAGCTCTCTTTTCACTCTGTTACCCGACACTAGATGGCGCTATTGCCAGATGTCAAATTAGCCGCGCAACAGTACCAATGCATTTGCATTTTGTATTTAAATACTTTTAATAAACCATTTTTAACATCTCTGTTTGGAACCAATTTTGATGATTCCTTTTTTTATTAAAAATATTACAGTCTAGGATCCCATACAACATACAAGTTTGGAAAAACATAGGTGAAAATTTGTTTAATGTAAATAAAATGTATTGAGATATTTATTTAATGTTGGGCTAATCACTGAATCAAAAACAATAAAATAAATACATAATATAATAAATAAAAATTATTCATTTATATTAAGTGCTATGACCGACTTCAAGTGTTAAATAATTTAATTATTTTAGTTCTTTAAATTTGCCTTTTAATTTTCTTTTTTTTTCTTTAGCTACTAGAAATTTAAATTGAGACAGTATTATTTTGCGCTAGCGGGAAACCACCACAGCGTTTCAAGGCAACGGCCAAACGCATTTTTACGCAGTTGGAATAACAGTTAACCGCAGCGGCGCGGCGTCAAGCCGTTCAACGATTCAGTACACGTGGTCACAAAATGAGTACATTAAGGTAGCAACGCATATTATGGTTTAAAAAAGAAGTATTGGATGTTTTCCCATCTCGTAATATAACTGGTCAGCTTTCGATCTAAGAATATTCGGGAATGTGTGTATTCTAAGACAGTGGCCAGCCGCTGAACATCTAGTGCCATAATACCAAAAATAAAAGACAAGCCGATTGATTCACCTCCCTAGCAAATGACGTTTTATTATTTACTAGCTTCTGCCCGCGACTTCGTACACGGATCCTGTTGCTTATGCCAGCAACAACGGGGTCGTCAAAATCGAAGATCTGAAACGGCTGATGTTGAATTTTAAGAGCCCGGGGACGGGAAATTTAAATTCGGGAAATATTGATTTCTTATATTCGACTGTTCGTTGTAGTCGGATACAAAATATATTTGAAGAAACTTAGGTTGGTCTTCAGGCAAAAGGGATCCTATCAAATGGTAAACCTGACATTGTATCTTAAAAGTAGACATGAAAGGACCTTCTGAGATTTGTTGAGCACCAAAGGATGTCATTTGAAACGCACTATTATAAGTGCGAATATTGTCTAAGAACTGTTTAGATTGCACATGTTCCCCTAAAAGTAGTGACTTCAAAGGTTCCGGTGGATCTTCGAACAGAAACCAACCGACTCCTTACTCTACTTTGAAGCATTACAAAAAGAACATACTACGTTCATATCGCCTATTAAAGAAGATGATCTGTAATCAATTGTGAGGTTATAAGCAAACCCACTTTTATATTTGTCGGACCACGCCACCGAATTTGTAGATTGATCTTCTATGTGTACATCTAAGTCATCTAAGTCATTAAAACTACGTCGAAATCTGTCTGCAGTAAGACGGGCCTCTCGCTGTTCGTCCGTTTCAAGAGACCGAATATTTTCAATTCTTAATCTTTCATTAGACAAACTTATTAATCGTTCTTGTCTCAAGGAATTGTAATATTCGCGTCCTGACTCTAGTCGTTGTTCATGCTCATGTTCATCTTCAAAAGTTCGAATAATATTATGGTGCACCCTATCATTTGTCAAACGGTCTTCATATTGAGTAAAAGTTTCAGATTCTCGAGATAAAATATGACGTTCGCGATCAGCCGTGAGACGTAGTTCCCTCTCAGTGTAGGTTTCGGACTCGCGAGATAATGTATGCCGTTTGCGGTCAGCTGTGAGACGTAATTCTCTCTCAGTGTAGGTTTCGGACTCACGGGTTAGTGCATGCCATTCGCGATCAGCTGTGAGACGTAATTCCCTCTCAATGAAGGTTTCGGACTCACGGAATAGTACATGCCGTTCGCGATCAGCTGTGAGACGTAATTTCCCTCTCAGTGTTGGTTTCGGACTCACGGTTTAATACAATGCCGTTCGCGATCAGCTGTGAGACGTAATTCCCTCTCAGTGAAGGTTTCAGACTCACGGAATAGTACATGCCGTTCGCGATCAGCTGTGAGACGTAATTCCCTCTCAGTGTAGGTTTCGGACTCGCAAGATAATGTATGCCGTTCGCGGTCAGCTGTGAGACGTAATTCCCTCTCAGTGTAGGTTTCGGACTCGCGAGATAATGTATGCCGTTCGCGGTCAGCTGTGAGCCGCAATTCTCGTTGTGAAGCAGTTTAAGCTTCTCGGGATAACACATGTTGTTCTCGGTCAATGGTAAGCCTTAGCTCTCGTTGAGAAGAACTTTGAGAGGCCCGTGATGTAGCTCGTCTCGCTCTGTCAGCTGCTAATCGCATCTCTCTTTCTGGAGAGCTTTCATTGGCTCGAGAAGTTGAGGCACTAACTCTCGTAGAGAACGCACATTTCTCATTCTCTTAGCTTCTCTCGAATTTCGATATAAATATAATCGTTTTTTAGGTGGCGATGTGTATTTTATTTTTAATCGACAGCATTCAGTTACCTAACAAAATAATCTAAGTTAGAGGTCCTAACTGTAGCTACAATACACTTAAAAAATCTAAATGCCTACTTAAATAATAAAACGGATCCTAAATAGATCCTTAAATCCAAAATTAAATTCTAAAAAATATATAAGTAGGTACCTAAACTACGTCTAATAGAATGCAATAACCTATTTGATACCTAGGTACCTATTTAAAACTACAGCTAAATAAAAAAAAGTTTAATTTATAATTAAGCTAATACTAAGAAATATTTAAACACTACCAAAATAACTAATACCTATTTTATAAAAAACAACCAAAGAAATCTAAAAATAAATTATTAAACGTAAGAGTAGACTAAAAGTCGCGCCGATAAGCACGGTTTGTTAAAATCAATTATTGTCTGTCAATAAGGTCGAACACTCTGAACGTTTATTCGCATCAACAGCTAAATATTATATGAAGCTCGCACTCTTTTTTTTGCGCCCGAAGCAATTATGGACAACCCTCCGAAAAGCGGGGGAGGGGAAAGGGGGTGGGGAATGCTCATAGCATACCACGCAGCCGGCTGCGTGGATTTTTACCCACTAAACCCCACCTTTAAGGATTGGCTTACCGATCTGACGAGAGATCTCTAAGCCGTATACGAACGCGACCCTCCTTGGCAGAAAGGAGGGCGCAAAAGCTCGCACTCGGACTCCCCGCCTTTTTATACCTCTCACCGCGAGCCGCATCGAGCGCGGCGACCGTTACACAAAAATAATCCTTATAGCATGATTCAGTATTCACGCGCGATGGCTTATTAGCGTACTTCATGTATAACTTTGGTGTTTCTATACCGATTTCTATGATTCTTTTTTATTGAATAGATAATAATGTTAACTTTTTTAATTAGGGATGAGAGTGTTATAAACGTAAGAGTTGACAAATATAATCAGAAAGCTCCGAACTGCTAAGCTATCGGGAGTTACACGTGTTATTGTGAGTCAACCATAAAAGGTAGACATATGCTGTCATAGGATATTTTTATATAATTTTAAGGAGAACATTTCCGTCATACATGATTTCTGTGTAGCTTTAACCATTAAGGCTGCACACGCGACGGAAGTTTAAAAAATGGAGTAATTTCTCCCGTTTCCCCACCATTTCCCTTTACTGCTCTGCTCCTATTGATCGTAGCGTGATGAAAAGTATACTATAACCTGCCCAGGAGTATGAAGAATGATTGTACCAAGTTTCATTAAAATCTGTCGAATAGTTTTTGTTTCTATGACGAACATACATACAGACGGACAGACAGACAAAAATTTTACTGTTTGCATTTTTGGCATCAGTATCAATCACTAATCACCTCCTGATAGTTATTTTGGAAATATATTTCATGTACACAATTGACCTCTCTACAGATTTATTATAAGTATAGATTTAACTGGCTTTACGGCTCTGGGTTCTAGCCCTTCTGAGCCCATCATTTCTTTCGGAATCTTCATTTTTATATATTTTTCCTTCACAATATGCTGATGCGTCACAATGCGAAGTTTTTGGGAGATTGTGACGACAGCTCTACCCAGCGGACAGTTGATGACGCCAGCCCCTCAAGTTCATAAGGCGCCCAAGCGATCAAAATACCTTGAGGTTTATATCAACATCAAAGCACTTTTTTCGTCGTTTACTTTTATGTTTTACACGCGCAGATACTTAATTCACAAAATCGCATCACTTTTATGAATCAAATTCAATTCGTAAAGAATTTGATTCGTAAAAGTGATGCGATTTTGTGAAAAATCCACTTAAAACCATTATTCAATCGACAAATAACAGGAGCGACAATACGTCGACAGCCAAGTTCCCGCCAAAACTTTAGCAATATTAGAAAATCACGGCCACATGAATGCCTAAGAGTATATAATGGCTACG